GTTGGAGGTTGCGGTGATAAAGTGCTTGTAGCATTAGCAATACAGAGGTCTTTTTCATTGCCACTTGGAATATATTTACCGACTAATACATGCGGCAAAGCAAACAGAAAGCATCCAATGCTTAAAATTACTGCCCCCCAGCCCAGCCATTTGGGTTTGTGGTAATGACCATAGTAACTGACAATGATTGCCATTAATGCTGCTGCAATGTCATAGCAACTAGAAATTGCACCAACTTGACTCGTCTTCAAAAAAAATCGTTTCTCTAAGGACGATATTACTACACCAGTTAAACCTGATACAATCATTCCTTGTGCTAGGACAAACCAGCACTGAAAAACGAGGAACCATCCGGGTCGCGCGAAACGTTGAAGAACTTTGCTTCGCCATGTCAAAAGTCCACATGTGAATTCACTCTCCTGCAAGTCGCTATCTTCCGGTATACGTGCTTCACGAAGCTCGTGGTTGATAGAATTATCCTTTGCTAATTCTTTGGATTTGTGACGAAGATCTGTCATTGTAGGCTAATTATGAAAATGATCCCTTCGCTACGAAATTCTTGAGTTGCCTAAGCTCGCATGTCCCTTTCAGAGGTCAATTTTATGAATTTATGCTCCTGTGAAAACACTAAATAAATAAGAAACCTAAAGTGAGACAGAAAAACACATAAGGAGTTATCATTGACAACAATATCGATTTCTATCGAGCTTTAAAAAAACAAGTTACAAAAATACAGGCTTTGAGCCACAACCAAGAACAACAAATCCCAAACTTAATCCAAGTTCAGCTAAAGCAATTTCCACTTACCCAAAAGCTTTTTACTACGTAATAAAGATATCAACGCATTTGACATTAACGTAAAATGTGAAGTTTTTGTCTTGTCGGTTGAATAATCGTCTTGATATTACTATTTTATGACGCTAGTTATCACCAAAGACTCAAGACGTAGTTAGACGTAATAGATGCAATGCAAAGAATCCAATCACGGTTAAGTTTGTACAATGTTAGCGGCTTCATGGACACAGTTCTCCTAGGACAATCAAAAGACTGTACAAGTGATCACTTGAGTATGAAAGAAAGAACGATAATGAGAGTTTGTCATGCATAAAACATAAATCAAACTTCAGTGAATCGACGTATTTATTTTGTAGAGTTGAGTTCTTGGTGATGACGTAGATGATGAAAGCGCATGTCATTGTGAAATTCGCGCGAAAATTGATATTCACCAGTTGCGCAATTTTTCATTGGGCATTTTTTTTAAAAAGTAATGGATTTATTCTTGGATAGCAAAAAAATTATCTTTGCGGTTCGTTTTACATACTAATCGCGTGTTGTTAGCCTTTGTATACGCTCGATTGGTTGTTTTATGCGGATTGTTGACGTACCCCAATGTCACTTCGATATCTAGTATAATCCGTCATCAAAATTTTTTCAGCGTCACGCAATGAATCTGAATCAAATCATCTTTCTTGCAGGTCGGACCAGACCTGAGGTCGGACGTTGTATTCCAGACGATGAGGAAGAAACGCAATTCCGTTCAAGACGAATTTTCCGTCGTATTTTCACGAATTATAGAGACAATTCATACATGGAAGTCCAAGAGGACTAATTAAAAAATGATTTCTGTTTCCCTTTTAACCTTATTATCTTTTCTGCTTTCATTTTGTTTATAAACAAAGGTAATTTGCATATAACATGTAACTCGACAAGCCAGGAATCAAGCTAGGAAATGTCAGGCAAACACAGCTGCACGTTTGACCCACGTGCCTTACAAGAAAGACTGAAATATTCCTGACAAAAAGCTCTTTATGTCAACAAAAGAAACTTCTAACAGACAAACATTGATATCTTGCTTTTTATCAATTTGAAAAGAAAAGGGGGAGGAGAAACATGTCCCATGATTCCTATTGGCCTTTGTTGTGGTGTTCTTGCGCGGAGTGCATTTCTTGCGCCATCGAACTCTCGAGGTCAGAGGGCTGAACAAAGTGCTGTCAGATCAAGCCCGTTTTTCACTCATTCTTTTTCAAAAGGTTAGTAATCAGAAAGATAATTCATAAAATAATCCCTACAAATAATTTGACATCCTTTCTAAGGCCCGAAAATAGTATAAGCACTTTGCATATTTCTCTGTTGTTTCCCATGTGGTGCATGCTCCGCCATTTTGCATTGACAATTTGCACAAACGTGCGGCAAAATTAAGTGTAAGATCCAACAACGTGGATGATTTTAACTCTTCATCGCTATGTAGTCGCAGTACTGTTTGATCTACTTTGTAATATGTAGACAGATGCAGTGGATTCAGCAAAATCTTCAAAAAGCAATATTATTCGAAAAAGCGCGCCAAAACATCACTGTGACATTCAAGAACGATAAATCAATATTTGTCCATGAAGTGAGTTGAAGCATGATAATTGAATGAAATATGTGTTTTGTTATATGAAAATGATAATTTTAACACTGTATTCAGTCGTGAATAACTATATTACCACGTTGGACAAACTAAGCTCGGTCGAGTGTATATTATTATGGTTAAAATTAATCAGTCAGGTTTATAAAATGCCGCAGCTCCGAAATCATCAAAATACTGTAGATGCACTTCAGTGATAATAGCCATTTTTAAATATTAAAGCTGAATGTGAATGTAATTTGGTCGAAGTCAAGAACATGCAACTACAGGTCCCTTGAACCATAGTTTAGCTTAACTATAGAGAGAGGCTATGCTTGAACGTATTAAGGCTTGACCTTGGCAGGCACGTTTTCAGTGATTGCTGTGAGGCTTCCGATCTTTTTTTTGTTTACACCTTTTCTCTCCCATACTTTCATTATACTATAGGTAAGTATGAAAAACTTCTCATGATCTGTATTCTCATCGCCACTGTCGCCTCCTTGCTTCAACTCAAGCTCCACTCACCCTAATATGTAAACCCTATCTCCTATTTATACAACTTTTCAGTAAAATCAGACGTTTTGATTGGTTGGCTTTCGTGTGTTATCAAAGTATAGATACACGGATTACGTCAAAACTAATTGTTTGTTGTATAAAACAGATAGATCTCATTTTTCCGTGCATGTGTACTCTAATAGATTCACAGATGATGTCAAAATGTAGTGAGAACAACAGTCACGCACTCGACTGCGTCTCGTGCATACTTTTTTTGTTCTCACTACATTTTGACGTCATCTGTGTATCTATTAGAGTACACACGCACGGAAAAATGAGATCTATTTGTTAAATAAATAAGTTTTAACTGTGGGAGAAATATATATACAAGACTTAGACTTTACTCCAATGCAGCTCACAAGATTGCCATGTGCTTCATATGTCTAAAGGACTATACCCAAGGTGGCTATAGAGCGAAAGCAGAAAAATGTTGTCCTTTGAATTATCCAAACCTTAATGCACCTACTTGTGAAAACGTTGTCATAGAAAATAGGACATTTGTATTTAGTAACAGCAATGAATTAAAAAAGACAAAACAAGATCACTGAGGCTGATTGCTCTTTTTTGTCTTGTTTTAATTTATTCTTTATTACTAAAATCAAATGTTCTATTTTCTATGAAAACGTTTCTGCAAGTAGGTGTATGTACAATAATATGGAATTTCAAAGAGGACTTCCCCTCCGCTGCCCATTGGTCTGCCACTAATGCAGTGTAGTTTTGCAGTACTTTTTAGAGAAAAAAGCCAATAGCATGAGCTCTGAGTGGATATTCTATTTGTAAAGTGCATTTATTTTATATACCCTAAATATAGCATTATTTTCTCTTTGACAGAAATAATACTCAACACAAGAAGTAAGATCGACATTTCAAACCTCCTTTATGGACATTAATAGATTCTAACAAAAGCAACACTACTTACTTCACCATTAGAAAAAAAATCATGGATGATGACAATGATTATGATGATGACCTTGACCTTGAATCTATGCCATCCATAATGGAAATTTGCTCTTCTTTGGAACAAATCATCCAAAATACAAGAAACCCAAATAGTAAAGAAGAGAGAAATGAAASACATSAAAACAGCAATGATACCAMGGCCATAATGAATGAGAAACCGAAAAATGGTGGCAATATTAGTGTTTCATATAAAGAAGCAAAATATGTGGCAAAAAGTGAAGTTCATGAAGTTAAAAGTGGGACATTGTTTAAATATCCCATTGGTGTCCAGGATACCTCTGACAAGAGGTTGGAAAATGTCAGTAAGGARGATTGTAATCTTTCTTCAAGAAATTGTCCAGAWTGGAGTGCTGGTWCACAGYGTAAGGGCACRGCTGGATCTCCAGATATGTTACAAGAAGAAAAGCTAAATGATTGCAAAAATAGTATATCTTTTAGAAAAGAAAAACAGGAGAACCATAAGATATATAAGGGAAATCTTGAAGTAAGAAGGCAATATGCGCCTAAAAGAAAGAAACTTCAATTGCTTAATGAATATTATTACAGTCATAACCCAGCTCCTTTTCCTCTTGCYTGTAAAATCTGCCACAAAACAATACTTACCGAAAAGGATATTAATTTGCATTACATAGCACACAGTAAAGAAAGGTATCTTAACTTGTTAAGTCATGGAAAGAACAAGGAAGCCCAACCTATGGAATACACACCTTTATTCATCTGTCAAATCTGCAACAAGTCGTTTTTAGTCAAGAGTAATCTAGATAGCCATTACCAAAGTCATAGCCTACCAAGGACACTGCAGTGTTCCAGCTGTAATGAATTGTTTTGTAGCACTACAAATGTGAATATTCCAGTTCTCAAAGAAGTGCAACTCTTTCAGTGCTCAATGTGCAAGCAGAGAGAGAATTATTTGGCATCTGAAAAAGAAACATTTGAAAATGGCAATGAAGGTTTTCATCCAGTACACTATAAAGTTAAAGTATTTCAGTGCTCATTCTGCAACCAAGTATTTAACCAGAAAAGTCTGTTGAATGCGCATCAAAAGGCACTGGGGCATAGAGAAACATACCCTTGCGTAATTTGCGGGAAAGTTTTCTTAGGAAAACAAACGTTGCACAATCATTACTCCAGGCACAAATGGCAGAAATGCACACTGTGCAAACGAATGTGTATTACAAAACATGCTCTTGACATTCACTATAAATATTCTCATGGTGACATTCAAAAACCCTAATTATAAGTTACTAAATTTCCTTCACCTAAACATTGTACATGGTTCAAAATCCTTCATACTGGATGGCTATTTTGCACATTGTAGCCCTCACTGCAGAGACCTTATTTGTCAAGTTTTTTTTTAACACAGGAAATCCATTATTTTTAGAAAGAAAAGAGATCCCTGTTGAGAAGGATTTGCATAACAATCTTTAATAAAGACAAGGAGAAGTTATTTTTTACGCATTTACATCATGAGAGAACAGTAACAGACACAGCAGATATATTTTTAAATAATCAACTTGACTGTATGATTGTATGATTACCGTTACTTTAGCTTTATGCAAAATCATATACTCATGATTTATTATATTTATTTATCTTTACTAAAAAAAATAAAAATTAAAGTAAAATCCTGATCAAACATAATAAAAACAAGAATACTGAGGAGGTATATGGAGATGGTCACTTTTCCCTACAAAAAATTCTTAGTTACCTAATCGGCTACTGTGTTTTCAACCACATTCAAACCACCTGAGAATAAGTTTCATTGTTCTTTGTATTTTCATTTCACAGTTGAACAACAAACGTTGTTTTCCCACAGGATTTGAATTGAGTGGTAACGTACATAGCAATGAGTTAACCGATTAGGTCTAYTGCCTAGCATTTGTTGAGAAAATCTACAATAGCATACAATGATAATAAATAATAATTTTTTGTTGATGTCCAGAAAATATAAAAGATGTTTGCAATAAGCTCAAAGTTCTGTGAGCCCCAAATGAATTTTAGGACCTGCCATTATGATGATCGACTGGTAGAGAATATAGCGTTAAACAGAAACTAGATAGGAAATCCATTGTGTAGTTAACAGTTGTTTAAGAAATGCAATTTTTTGCTTGATGATCCTCCATACCATAAGTTATTCAATGTTTTATGTGCACGTGTTGTGTTCCTGAACAGTCCCTCGCAAACTCCATTTTTCTTGATTGCAGTTTCAATGGGGCAGCTCCACTGATTCATGTCCTTAAAAGTTTCAAAAAAATCCCCAATCTTTGACTTTAGACTTGCTACTGAGCACCACTTTGCAGAGTTCCTCTCTTCAGAGAATCTGATTTCAACAGGAATTTTTGCCCCAAACAGTGGACCTTGCCCATACACCCCATGCGAGCCAAGAAGGGACGTCATGTGKGAGGAAATGGTGGCATCAACCTTTGCAAGGTTTTTGAAGAAAATTGACAGTTCAATGGGATACTCTTTGGAGATGTACTCAATGGTGTGAGACACATGGAGGACAAAGCCCAGTTGGATCTCTACGCAGACTCTTTCAATGTAGAAGAAAGGTGAGCAAAGAACCTGAAAGTGAACATGTGTGTTAAACTTATATGATTGGCTAAGTTGGTACATATATGAAGACTGGGTGCAAATATAGCCTCGTACGAACATGCCAGTCACGGTCTTCCTGTCTTTTTTCCTGATAGCCAGAGGAATGGATAATGGGAAAGAAATTGCCAAGTAACACAAAAAGGTCGCGCAGCACGGTTTTTGCTAATATTTATGATATTTTATAACGTAGAAATTTATAAATGTTTATTGAGGTAACAATTTCAAATTCAAGAATGATTACAATAATGATAAAATTTTTAAATGTGCAAGCGTCGCGCCATATTGTATAGAATTTCTAATTCTTTCTTCACCTGAAAATTCAAAACTTACCAAGGTTCCTGCATGAACTGTACCGTACTCAAACTTGGGTTTGGCGTCTCTCAGAAACCTTTCTTCTATCTCCCTCATTGATATGATCTTGTTGAGAACCCTGAACTTGTGCTTGTCCACATTTAGCAACAGGGCAATATGAATTTCCCAATTTTCTAAATTGGTCCCACTTGAATTGCGATGAACTTTAACTTCATGCTCTAGTTCACTGTTGATATCCAATCCCATTATTTTATGTTGGAAGACTTGCGAGGTCTGTTTCGAATGTTCTTTGATTGTTGCCGCAGAAACAATATCCCAAATTGGCTCCAAATCGCGACTGGTGTAATACGGTGTTTCGCCATGATCAAATAAGCGCCGTTTGTCTCTGTGAGTTTTGACATCTCGGCGCTTTCGTTCTACCGTCGATTCCAACGATCTCTTTTTACGGGAATCTGAGTTATCCCATTTCCAATGAATGAATGGAAAATCTGATGAGAATGAAAACGAAGGGATGAGATGAGAGATTTTGAAACCTCCGTCTGGAGCATTTTCCTTTTGTTCATTTTGGCTACTGTCGTCATCTCTCCAKAGYTGATCAAAWATSCGATCRAACAGGCTTTTYTCCTCGGGYTGTGGGGCAGKAGTTACAGTAGGTTTGCCAATGTCAATATTTTTCTTTGTSGTTTTACTAATTCCATTGTTTTCGTTCAAGGTTTTGCCAGTTTCGTCCTTTTKGTCTTTRGGRATTTTGCTTGTTTCAGGASTGTCTTTTTTASTGGTTTTCTGRGKCTTTTTCCCCTTATRATGAGTSTTAMGTTTCTTTTTATCTTTCCTCGCCATTAGCTTTTTTCCTTCYTTATAAAGTGCTGCACTAATACGTTTCTCGGCTTTACTATRYTGTGAACTTTTGGGCCGCTTTATATCTTTGGTATGCAAGCCACCGCTCTCCTCATTGCTCATTTTTTTAACTTGCCTAGTTTGACCTGTGGTTTTGAAATCCTTTACTTTTTGCGCATCTTTAGCTGGATATTTGCCTTCTCCCAATTCTTCACCAGTTTCTTTTGAATCGTCATTATCATCATCATCATCTAGGTCGTCATCTGGAAACATGGGGACAGGCTGAGCAAATCTGAATTGTCTCATCCTATCATATCCATTATCATCTTGACTGGCATCATAATCATTATCATCTGATGGAGGTTCGTTATCGATGTTATAATCATCATCATCATCATCGTTATTCTCATCCAACTGCCGGTGTTGTTCAGTTGTTGTCGGAACTGGTGTTGTACTCGAAATTTTGTGCCTATCAGGAAATCGTTCTTTTCTTTTATTCACTACTAGTTCTTCAAATTGCGTTTCAATACCCGGTTGGGTGATCTTATGGAAACTCCTGGCAAATGCTTCCATATCTTTATTTCTTATAGACTTTTTTGAACCAAGGTTGTGTGGCATAGTCATGTTAAGCATTTCTTTGATGGTTTCCACCACATTATGATTCTCATGGTATTTCTTGACGGAAGGACCATAATATTTCAGACCATCCTTTGAAGKCGTTGCAAGTTCGGAGATRTCACTAAACGTGTACTCATGCTTGGTGATGTCTGGTTTGTTAYTCTGTTYRTCCACYAAGCGTAGAGAGCTTTTAAACCGCATGGAAAGTTCTGCTTGGGATGACGTTTCTCCCTCTTCACCAGAAATTGGAAGCTTTGCAGACAATTCCATGTCGCTCTTTTTGATCATCCCAGTGATTTTACTAACTGAAGTGTCTTCTTCAAAGTTAAACGATGTGTGAGGCAATTGTTTGTTTGAATTACTTGCAAATGAAGAGAATCCTTCAGGCTCGATTCTCGAAGTGATTAAAATATCATCTTTCCCCATGCGAATATTTTGCTTCATTGTCGCATCTCCTTGGAAGAACTTGGAATTTTCCAAAAGAACCTCGTGTTTTCGCGTTGTAATCTGGCTCAAAATCATCTCAAAAAGATCGATTTTTACAACGGGAAAGAGTTGAGTCAGCAGATTCAAAACATAGTAATCAAGTGTGTTGTTCTTTTTCCATGGTGTTAAAACTTTCAGACGTTTTTCGTCATCAATGTCCACGGATTCCGGTCCGCCAAGATTAACACTTACCAAGAATGCATATGGTCCATCGTGCAACTGCAGTGGTAATGTCTTAAGAGAGACTTTCATCCAACATCGATTCTGTGTTTTGTTAACAATTTGAACGAAAACATCCTCAGTAAATTTTGTATGAACGGTTTTGAGCCCTTCGAAGGTGTGTTCCTGAGTAAGTCGATAGTGTAACACTTGTCCTTGAGAAAGATTCAACTCAAATGAAAATGTCTTTGCTTTCAGAAGAAAATATGTCACCAATATTGCCCCACCAAGGAGAATAAGAAATGACATTGCACAAAACACTTTTCGCTTGCGTGAATATTTGCTCCTCCGGATTGGGAACTGCACTTTCGATTTTGGGACGTTTTCACCGTCCTTTTCTCCACTTGTATCCTCCACAATTTCCATCACTGGACCACTCAAATCCTCGTCCGCCGTCTCGAACATCGCTTCGGCGAGTAAGCGCTCTTCTTCCGGGTCCAAAACAACCATTTTTGTTGCAGTTTTTAAGTTCAGTTGACTGTGTTTTGTGATGATCGATTTTAATTAATTATTCATCGCTCGTGTCTTTTTGCTGGTGTGCTTGGTATTAACCAATCACAATCGAGAATGATCAAACGTCAAAGTCTGTTTTCGCCGAGACAAAATATAGTAAATTAGAAAACTTTTGAAAGGTTGATGACATACAACTTCAACAGAAGATGAAATATAGAAGAAAATCTGGAAATTCCAAATTTGCTTAGCTGAAAAAGGATTTCAACCAGCCAGTTGAGGAATGATGAATCGAAAAATGAATGGTCCTAGACGATTATCATTTAAAGTWAGAATAGACTCTGGGAGGGACGTTTGAGCAAAATCAGATAAMCAACAACCCTTTGGATYACCCTGCAGGAATTGGTTAAAATTTGAACTGGGAACAAAGACATGTAGATTRTTAGTAGTGCKTAATCTTATCGACAGCTATTCCTCTGARTATGCMAGGGRWYCCYKGGGTATAGAATGGRAATTTGCACTTAAATGGACTGAGAAAACGGGGATCTCATTCACTGCAATTACTATTTACTTTACAAAAAGTGGATAAAAAGAACTTCAATCTTAGCAAATATATTAAAATCTATAAGTTTCACTATGATTCGCAAAGAAATATTTCTAAGTTCAAATTTGAAGCCGACAACTTACAGTAGCTTGACTTTCAGACGGTCCACGGTTTGATGATAACCCTCCCTTACACCCATCTGAAACTCAGGCTACTTTTGAAAAGAGAGTAGTAATGAGAGATATATAACTAAGACTTTTGTAAATGACATCCACCCATAACTAGTAGAAGCTGATGTTGGCCATATCCTGTTTTATTTGACAGCAGATTCTATTACGCAAAGACACTTCCAAACACAAAAGAAAGCACAAAACTGCTGTCAGTAAGCAATTTCTACGATTTGAGGCCAACTATGTATTAGCCTGCGTGGCGGCTCTAGTTTTCTCCCTCCCCCCTCCCCTAGAGCCGCCACGCAGTCTAACTATGTATTCCCTGTTGAAACATTAGGTCTTATGGACATACAGAGTTACTCTCAACTAAGGAAAAACACAAAGTTTCAAGCCTATTGTAATAGCTACACTTCTCGTGCTCTCTTTTGGATTTGGTGAGGTCTTTGCGCAAGAGTCTGTTGTCACATAAAGCAGCGGGGGTTTTTTCGCTTTGAATTCGAAAATGGAGTATAAAGGAAGGATTGCAGTGTGTTTATTGGTAGAATAACGCACGCGGGGATATTGGAAGAACACGAAAAAGGACTAAAAAATCACCAGCACAGCGAGTGCATTTACCGGCATAATAGACCACGCTCTTGGACCAATCAGCGCGTTCGTACTATTACATCAATAATGTAAATGATAAAAAGTTGTTATGCGAATGCAATTTGATATGAGAAGCAGCTTAGGTATTAGGATGAAGTTAGCAGGCTAGAGTGCGTACAAGAAAATCTTGTCTATTTATCTGCTAGGCAAAAGAGCAATGTACAGATAGAAGTGGAAGAAAACAGAAAGTCAGAGTCCTGTCATTAATTTTAGCAATGCACATGACGGTAATGTATAACAATATCAACAAAGAGATATTTACACCAAAACGTTTATTAGTTTTTTGAGATTGATAGATTAAGATGACGCTGCCTTCTTGCCTTGTTGTGCTTTGAGAACTCTCACTACAATCTTCTGTTCCTCGATCAAGAAAGCACGTACAATTCTGTTGACAGAGAAAGTGCACTTATAAGAACACTCTTACAGTGGTTTCCAGTAACCTTTGAAATACATTTTAGAGAAGAGCCAACGCACTAGAGGCAGATATACATGATGCAACTGTTGTGTGCAAGTTGTACATGTAGGTGCATCTAAACAGCGCACATGACAATCATACTGTGTAAATCAGCAGTTAGCCTTTTCATT